AGTCAGCTTGCAATTATTGTGACCATGTCGTGGTGCAGTTGACTAGAGCGCGTCTGGGAACATCCTGTACATAGGTTCGAACCCTCGAACTCAGGTTTAAGGTTTGTTGTTACCATATATAAGTGGTATTACCCAACCATATCAAGAGCTGGCTAACTTTTAGGTAAGTTCTATCATTTCCCAGATCAAGATCCACCAGCCCCCTCCACACCTGCCCCCACACACCTGCCATCCACACCTGCCCCAACACACTTGCCATCCACACCTGCCCCCACACCTGGCCCACACACCTGCCGACCAGCCGTTGTGTAATTCCGTCCACGTGAACTGTTAAAAGCTAAGATTATTATGGTGTTGTAGATGATGGTGTTCTCAAGAGGACCAGAGTACCTTTGATGGTGTTCTCAAGAGGACCAGAGTACCTTTGATGGTGTTCTCAAGAGGACCAGAGTACCTTTGATGGTGTTCTCAAGAGGACCAGAGTACCTTTGATGGTGTTCTCAAGAGGACCAGAGTACCTTTGATGGTGTTCTCAAGAGGACCAGAGTACCTTTGATGGTGTTCTCAAGAGGACCAGAGTACCTTTGCCGCTTTTGTTAATGGCGGTTTTCATGGTTCAAGGGGGGACCCCCTGCTGACAGAAGCAGGGGGTCAAGAGGGGGGTCCCGGCTGACAGGGGCAGGGGGTCAAAAGAGGGGGGGGGGGTCCCGGCTGACAGAAGCAGGGGGTCAAGAAGGGGGGTCCCGGCTGACAGGGGCAGGGGGTCAAGAGGGGGGGGGTCCCGGCTGACAGGGGCAGGGGGTCAAGAGGGGCTGGGGGTTCCCGGCTGACAGGGGCAGGGGGTCAAGAGGGGGGGGGGGTCCCGGCTGACAGAAGCAGGGGGTCAAGAGGGGGGGTCCCGGCTGACAGGGGCAGGGGGGTCAAGAGGGGGGGGTCCCTGCTGACAGAAGCAGGGGGTCAAGAGGGGGGTCCCGGCTGACAGGGGCAGGGGGTCAAAAGAGGGGGGGGGTCCCTGCTGACAGGGGCAGGGGGTCAAGAAGGGGGGTTCCCGGCTGACAGAAGCAGGGGGTCAAGAAGGGGGGGTCCCGGCTGACAGGGGCAGGGGGTCAAGAGGGGGGTCCCGGCTGACAGGGGCAGGGGGTCCCGGCTGACAGAAGCAGGGGGTCAAGAAGGGGAAGTCCCTGCTGACAGGGGCAGGGGGGTCAAGAGGGGGGGGGTCCCGGCTGACAGGGGCAGGGGGTCAAGAGGGGGGGGGGTCCCGGCTGACAGGGGCAGGGGGTCAAGAGGGGGGGTCCCGGTTGACAGAAGCAGGGGGTCAAGAGGGGGGGTCCCGGCTGACAGGGGCAGGGGGGTCAAGAGGGGGGGGGGTCCCTGCTGACAGGGGCAGGGGGTCAAGAGAGGGGGGGTCCAGGCTGACAGGGGCAGGGGGTCAAGAGGGGGGGGGTCCCGGCTGACAGGGGCAGGGGGTCAAGAGGGGGGTCCCTGCTGACAGGGGCAGGGGGTCAAGAGGGGGGGTCCCTGCTGACAGGGGCAGGGGGTCAAAAGAGGGGGGGGGTCCCTGCTGACAGAAGCAGGGGGTCAAGAGGGGGGGGTCCCGGCTGACAGAGGCAGGGGGTCAAGAGGGGGGGTCCCGGCTGACAGAAGCAGGGGGTCAAGAGAGGGGGGGTCCCGGCTGACAGAAGCAGGGGATCAAAAGAGGAGGGGGTCCCTGCTGACAGAAGCAGAGGGTTCAGAGGGGGGGGTGGTCCCGGCTGACAGAAGGGGGTCAAGAGAGGGGGGGGTCCCGGCTGACAGAAGCAGGGGGTCAAAAGAGGGGGGTTCCTGGCTGACAGGGGCAGGGGCAGGGGGGGTGTCAAGGGACCATGTGGGTGACAACACTCACTCTCATGTTGACTTAGGGACGACGACACCCCAGGGATCCAATACACTCCGTCTGCCCGATACCGGGAAATTGTATATGCATTGTATTGTATTGTATTGTATTGTATCTCATTGTGAGTGTGCAAGCACGCACGAACAATAGTGATGCTATCACAACACAGCTAATGTATCAGAAAATTGCCAGGAAAAAAATGAGAGAGAGAGAGAGAGAGAGAGAGAGAGAGAGAGAGAGAGAGAGAGAGAGAGAGAGAGAGAGAGAGAGAGAGAGAGAGAGAGAGAGAGAGAGAGAGAGAGAGACAGACAGACAGACAGACAGACAGACAGACAGACAGACAGACAGACAGACAGACAGACAGACAGACAGACAGACAGACAGACAGATAATGACAAAGAGAAAACAGAGAGGCTCAAGAATGCAGGAATGAACGCTACACAACACTGCAGAACACAGCCAGACGAGAAACAGTGTTGAGTGGCCCCACTGGACAATAACACCACACACACACACACGCTTAAGGCTGCACCAGTAATTCCTCCGCCAGCACAGTTTCTGCGACTTTCACCCACGATTACACACTTCCATTACCAAATCGACACATTATTCTGGCGATTTATCGCAACATTCTCGAGACGCTGAGAGAAGACATCGTGAGAATTGACTTTTTTCCGTGCGTTCTTTGTTCACTTAAGTGTGCACCTTGAGATCTGTGATGAGGTAAAGACTGCTTGATGGCGCGAAGTTTGTCTTGTGCCTCGCTGTCTTAAGTATATCTGTATCTCCTCGGGCATCTTCACGTCATGTCGGGGGTGCATTTCTGCGCGCAAATCTGAGTAGAAATTGTTGTAATTGCGACCGTGATTGTCCAATTCGTCTGCAGGTTATATGGGGGTCGACTGACCGTCCACCAGGGCAGGAGTCACTTGGGGTGGACGGTGGAGCGACGGTCTCGCTTCATGCAGGTCGGCGTTCAATCCCCGACCGTCTACAAGTGGTTGGGCACCATTCCTTCATCCCCCCGTCTCATCTGTCACTCACAGGATGAGTGACGCTGCCCAATACTGTCACTATGGCGGTGTGTCCACTCACAGGATGAGTGACGCTGCCCAGTATTGTTACTATGGCGGTGTGTCCACTCACAGGATGAGTGGCGCTGCCCAATACTGTCACTATGGCGGTGTGTCCACTCACAGGATGAGTGGCGCTGCCCAATACTGTCACTATGGCGGTGTGTCCACTCACAGGATGAGTGGCGCTGCCCAATACTGTCACTATGATGGTGTGTCCACTCACAGGATGAGTGACAGAGCCCAATACTGTCACTATGGCGGTGTGTCCACTCACAGGATGAGTGACGCTGCCCAATACTGTCACTATGGCGGTGTGTCCACTCACAGGATGAGTGACGCTGCCCAATACTGTCACTATGGCGGTGTGTCCACTCACAGGATGAGTGACGCTGCCCAATACTGTCACTATGGCGGTGTGTCCACTCACGGGATGAGTGACGCTGCCCAATACTGTCACTATGGCGGTGTGTCCACTCACAGGATGAGTGACGCTGCCCAATACTGTCACTATGGCGGTGTGTCCACTCACGGGATGAGTGACGCTGCCCAATACTGTCACTATGGCGGTGTGTCCACTCACGGGATGAGTGACGCTGCCCAATACTGTCACTATGGCGGTGTGTCCACTCACAGGATGAGTGACGCTGCCCAATACTGTCACTATGGCGGTGTGTCCACTCACGGGATGAGTGACGCTGCCCAATACTGTCACTATGGCGGTGTGTCCACTCACAGGATGAGTGACGCTGCCCAATACTGTCACTATGGCGGTGTGTCCACTCACAGGATGAGTGGCGCTGCCCAATACTGTCACTATGGCGGTGTGTCCACTCACAGGATGAGTGACGCTGCCCAATACTGTCACTATGGCGGTGTGTCCACTCACAGGATGAGTGACGCTGCCCAATACTGTCACTATGGCGGTGTGTCCACTCACGGGATGAGTGACGCTGCCCAATACTGTCACTATGGCGGTGTGTCCACTCACAGGATGAGTGACGCTGCCCAATACTGTCACTATGGCGGTGTGTCCACTCACGGGATGAGTGACGCTGCCCAATACTGTCACTATGGCGGTGTGTCCACTCACAGGATGAGTGACGCTGCCCAATACTGTCACTATGGCGGTGTGTCCACTCACAGGATGAGTGACGCTGCCCAATACTGTCACTATGGCGGTGTGTCCACTCACGGGATGAGTGACGCTGCCCAATAAACTCGCCGCTTGGGGCCAAATTTAAAAATTAATTTTAAAAGCCTTAGGCTGCTGCCCCGGTATATATTTATACATATTTCCATTAGGGGACTTCATGGTAAGTTATATTTCTAAGTTTGTTGACAAACTCAGACTCTGCGTTGCAGAGGTGACGACTATCAAAGGATCGTTATAACTAAAGCGATGTTAATCACCAGTTAATAACTAACTACCAGTTAATGACAGGAGTACACAGTAACGGTGACGGTAAGATTGACTAATTGCATTGTTACCTTACTCATTGGCACTCATTCTCGCGTCTAATATAACGAATTTAAACCGCGTCGTAAAATTCAATTTAACGTTTGTTAAATAAGGTTATTGCTAGGCGGGGGGGGGAGGGCAGAGGAGGAGGGGGCAGAGGAGGAGGGGCAGAGGGGGAGGGGGCAGAGGGGGGCGGAGGGGGGGGAGAGGGATCACCACCAGTTGAACAATCCATTAAATTGGTGTCAGTAATTCATCACAATTGTTCTGTAGCCGTGACTCGGACAAAGATTGTCAAGACAATCTTTCTTCATCAGTCGTAATAACAAATCAGATGTGTGTGTGTGTGTGTGTGTGTGCGTGTGTGTGTGTGTGTGTGCGTATATATATATATTCTTCCACAAGTCATCAAAAACCTTTTGTAAACTCGCCAGCAAAATGAGACATAACTCACTGGATATTGACGGAGGCTGTTGGGCAACCAGAGCATGACGGTGTGTTAAATAGCCCGTGAACTTCAAGAATGGGATCCAACCTTCGAACACTTGTTCCACAGAAATGTTTTCCATGTTTCCTTAATTGTCTAAATACTTTATAAGTTAAGAGGCGCTCCGTCTGAGGCGCTCCGTCTGAGGCGGTCCGTCTGAGGCGGTCCGTCTGAGGCGGTCCGTCTGAGGCCGTCCGTCTGAGGCGGTCCGTCTGGGGCGGTCCGTCTGAGGCGCTCCGTCTGGGGCGGTCCGTCTGAGGCGCTCCGTCTGAGGCGGTCCGTCTGAGGCGCTCCGTCTGAGGCGGTCCGTCTGAGGCGCTCCGTCTGGGGCGGTCCGTCTGAGGCGCTCCGTCTGAGGCGGTCCGTCTGGGGCGGTCCGTCTGAGGCGGTCCGTCTGAGGCGCTCCGTCTGGGGCGCTCCGTCTGAGGCGCTCCGTCTGAGGCGCTCCGTCTGAGGCGCTCCGTCTGAGGCGGTCCGTCTGAGGCGATCCGTCTGAGACGGTCCGTCTGAGGCGGTCCGTCTGAGGCGATCCGTCTGGGGCGCTCCGTCTGAGGCGGTCCGTCTGGGGCGGTCCGTCTGGGGCGGTCCGTCTGAGGGGATCCGTCTGGGGCGCTCCGTCTGAGGCGATCCGTCTGAGGCGGTCCGTCTGGGGCGGTCCGTCTGAGGCGCTCCATCTGAGGCGATCCGTCTGAGGCGGTCCGTCTGGGGCGGTCCGTCTGAGGCGCTCCGTCTGAGGCGGTCCGTCTGAGGCGGTCCGTCTGAGGCGGTCCGTCTGAGGCGCTCCATCTGAGGCGATCCGTCTGGGGCGGTCCGTCTGGGGCGGTCCGTCTGAGGCGATCCGTCTGAGGCGGTCCGTCTGGGGCGCTCCGTCTGAGGCGCTCCGTCTGAGGCGGTCCGTCTGAGGCGGTCCGTCTGAGGCGGTCCGTCTGAGGCGGTCCGTCTGGGGCGGTCCGTCTGAGGCGGTCCGTCTGAGGCGGTCCGTCTGAGGCGGTCCGTCTGAGGCGGTCCGTCTGAGGCGGTCACGGCTGGTGTAGTGGTCCAATACGCTTGTGTTCGGTGCGTGACGACATTACTGACAAACAAGTGAGCATCTGTAACATCGAAGGTAAACACTAACTTCCATTGACAACATTTCTACTCTACTCAGTAATATTACACATTTGTGTTATTCACTAATAGTTAACATTTCATTTAAATCGAAAATATTTCAGAATTTCTTGTATTCGGTAATATTTTATATTTTTTGGATTAGTATGTAAGTCATTCTAATCCCCGCAACACGGAACACTTTAATACAATAATGAATGGGTTTTTTTCAATCCCCGACCGTCCACAAGTGGTTGGGCACCATTCCTTTCCCACCGTCCCATCCCAAATCCTATATGGGATAGATGTTCATGATAATGACACGAAGTGTAAACTATGTGGTATGTTAAGGTCTCACACCCTTGCCCATTATATTCTTGATTGTCCGTTGATTAATGTATATAGAAACACTGAGATAAGGACTGTTCCTGAACAAATAGCCTGGATGTGTCACAACGGAAAGGTGGATGATATTCTTGAGAGATATAAGAATTTTGCACCAAGATTGTAATATTTTGTTGAATTATCTGCAGGTGTCTTGCAAATTGTCTATACAGTATACCTAGGTCATAAAAGTATTTGTGTGTACGTCTGATACCATACTACTTGTGAAGGAGGAAATGTATAGGTTTACCTCTCAGAATGTTTGGTAATATGTTTATTGTTTGTGATGTGTGTCTATGTATATATTAACACGTTGTACTGAACGGGGTGAGAATAGCTTGAGCTACCTCATCCCTTTGTGTGTATTTTACCTCAATAAACTTATTTCAATTTCAATTTCAATTTCAATTTCAATCCCAAATCCTTATCCTGACCCCTTCCCAGTGCTATATAGTTGTAAAGGCTTGGCGCTTTCTCCTAATACTTTGCTTCCTTGTGGTGGACGGTATCTAGAGCCTTGCTAAAGACTACATAAATATTACCATATCACTGCCTATGTCGTGAACCTGACGGCTAAGTGGACAGCGCTCGGGATTCGTAGTCCTGAGGTTCAGGGTTCTATCCCCGGTGGAGGCGGAAACAAATGGGCAGAGTTTCTTTCACCCCTGATGCTCCTGTTCACCTAGCAATAAATAGGTACCTGGGAGTTAGACAGCTGCTACGGGCTGCTTGCTAGGGGTGGAGACCTGGTCGAGGACCGGGCCGCGGGGACGCTAAGCCCCGAAATCATCTTAAGATAACCTCAAGATAGATAACTACCCGCACAATAACCCCACATATTACAGGAGAGCAAACAAGAGGGAGTTTACCGTCCGTGGACAGAAGCAGTACAGGATGGCCCAGACGGCCTCCTGGGGCCTCCCACCGGCTCTCCTGTCTTAATTGCTGTCCACTGTCCGCACCGTCTATGTAATACCACATTAACCATTAACATTCATTCTCTCTAGTGTAAACATTGTAGAGAGTGTGTGCGTGTGTGTGTTTGGGCAATATGTGAGGTAATGTTTGCATGTTTGCTAGAGAGAGAGAGAGAGGCGAGTGTGTTGGTGTCGCCGTCTCCTCAGCCCCTTTGTAAACACACCCTTTGTTCACCCTCTTTCCCCCCCCCCCTAGCCCCGCGGGTGCCCCCTTGCCCGCGGGGCTAGGGGGGGGGGAGCAAGGGGGCACCAATCATCATACCTAGAAACTGTTTTTACTGTGTATTCAGCAAACTGTTTGTGTGTGTATGTGTCGGTTTTAAAAACACGTTTGACCATGAAAATTTCCACATCTGCCGTGGGGTTTCTCTCCAAGTTAGAGCCAATAAAACAAAACAAGCAAGTCACATATATATATATTTATATATATCGTCAGAATAAACCGTGCCTCTGGGGCTAAACTGGTGGCGGTGCCTGGTGGTCACGTTCCTCGCTTGTAACAATCATCACACCTAGAGAACCGGCCCAATAAACACCCAACAACTGTTCTGGAGATAATGACCGAACCATGGCGACGAGATGGCCTTGTTCAGATGGTTTATACTACCGCTACCTTCAGTCTCTCTCTCTCAACTGGGGCGTCTTGTATTTAAACATCCACAACAGTTTGTTGAGTTTATCGGAGCATTGAAATCTGTGTGTGTGTGTGTGTGTGTGTGTGTGTGTGTGTGTGTGTGTGTGTGTGTGTGTGTGTGTGTGTGTACTCTCCTATTTGTACTCACCTAGTTGTGCTTGCGAGGGTTGAGCTCTGGCTCTTTGGTCCCTCCTCTCAACCGTCAATCAACAGGTGTACAGGTTCCTGAGCCTACTGGGCTCTATCATATCTACACTTGAAACTGTGTATGGAGTCAGCCTCCACCACATCACTACTCTGACAATGAAAAAGTTCTTTCTAATGTCTCTGTGGCTCATTTGGGTACTCATTTTCCACATTATATATATATATATATATATATATATATATATATATATATATATATATATATATATATATATATGTCGTACCTAGTAGCCAGAACGCACTTCTCGGCCTACTATGCAAGGCCCGATTTGCCTAATAAGCAAAGTTTTCCTGAATTAATATATTTTATCTAATTTTTTTCTTATGAAATGATAAAGCTACCCATTTCATTACGTATGAGGTAAATTTTTTGTTATTGCAGTTAAAATTAACGTAGATATATGACCGAACCTAACCAACCCTACCTAACCTAACCTAACCTATCTTTATAGGTTAGGTTAGGTTAGGTAGCCGAAAAAGTTAGGTTAGGTTAGGTTAGGTAGGTTAGGTAGTCGAAAAACAATTAATTCATGAAAACTTGGCTTATTAGGCAAATCGGGCCTTGCATAGCAGGCCTAGTACGACGTTCTGGCTACTAGGTACAACATATATATATATATATATATATATATATATATATATATATACACACACACACATAAATACACTCTCCCGTTGGACCCACTAAAATATAATAACGCCTCCACATAATCTCGGAGTCCAACCGCCCGCCGCCATGTTTGCTTCCCGGCCTCAGGGAGGCGTGTACATGTGTGTGTGTGTGTGTGTGTGTGTGTGTGTGTGTGTGCCCCAGGCAGGCATCCTGTGTACACATTCAACACACTGTGTGTATGTGTGTGTGCAGGTAACACGTTATGTACACAGAGCGGGGGTCCCGGAGCTGTACCTCGCCTGTGGGAACGACCTTGTGTTCATCTTGACAGCCTTTCTCCATCCCGTCCTTGGACCATGTCCATTCCGTCCAGCGGTCGACCCCACAGACGCATTCATACATTTTTACATGCTGATCATTCAAAATGGGAATTTTCTCAAATATAAATTAATATTATAATATATTAGCATATTGGGCATATATATGGGCATAGGTTAGGTCAGGTTAAGTTAGGGGTTTAGGTTCTTTGGGCGATTATTTGTATTTGAAGTACGTGGGTGAAGCATTTACAGCGTTGTGGTTCGAACAAAATTCGTCAGTGAAGCACTTGTGCAGCCCGTCCTCCAAACAAAGATCCAAAAGTGATTCCATGCACCCGCCAAACCCCCTGTTTATGAATGAAAAGCAGTTTACACACGACTCACAACTGCTGACGTTCGAAAATATCCGGAACAAGTGCTTCACTGACGAATTTTGTTCGAATCACAACGCTATAAATGCTTCACCCACGTACTACAAATACAAATAATCGCCAACAGAACCTAAACACCTAACCTAACCTATCCTATGCCTATATATACACAATATGCTAATATATTATAATATTAATTTATACTTGCGAAAATTCCCGTTTTGAATGAACAGCATATTAAAATTTATGAATGCGTCTGTGGGGTCGACCGCTGGATGTAATGGACTTGAGTCGAGGACGGGTTGCAGCCAAGTGAACCCATATGATCCACAAAAGAATTAAGGAATTGTGTTGTAGGATGAGATAGGTATTTAGGGAGGTAGCAAAGCTATCCTCAGATTGATTAGTTGATGAATGAATTGATGATGAATTGATTGATGTCCTGAGGGACGAGTCCACGAGACGAGTCCCCCCCCCCCCGTTGTTTAACGTAATCTTGCCTAAAGTAATCCTTGTAAAGTAGTTATCTAGTCAATTCCTAGACAAAGTACTAGTTTAAGATACTACTCATTTCTTTAAGTCATGATCAGTTACTTGAAATTCTTCCTTTAGCATTGAAATTGAAATATGTTTATTGAGGTATACATACATACACACTTTGTGAGTATGTATACATCAATAAACTTATTTCAATTTCCTCTGTGTTAAAATCCCTTTAGGATGTGTCTTTACCTGCTGTGCCTCACTTGTTTTATGGTTTCTTTGTTTTCTTTAGTTTTGTCAGCTTTTCTAACTAGTTTAGTAAATTGTTATTCTGGACTGATTTTCCCTCATTTGTAATTTTTTCGTACGAAGCTTTCTATGTTTTGTGTGTGGGAAGTTGAAGACCAGATGTCTAGGGCTAGTCTCAAGCAACTTTTCTGGCTGACACATTTGTGGAAGGTGACTGTCACAGGCACGTTGGAGTCAGCAAATCGCCGTCCCTACTCCCCCCCTTTAAGGAAGGTCGGCTCCTATTACAACTTCCATTGACGCCTCTGAAGGCCGAAATGGGATGGGTGGGAGAGTTTGCTTTTCCATAGAGTTTTTGAGCAGTTTCTCATCTGTTCATCGCACAGTCACCAAAACCCCAAAGGAAAGTAACCAATTAAACCAATAACAGGTTGTCAAAAACATCCCGGCGACACTGGGGCTCGATCGTGGGTCAAGAATAGAACACAAGTCTTCTTTCACAAGACAAAATAGCATTAAATAGTTTCTAAAATGCGGTTACCGGAGCGCTCGTTCGTGCCGGCGCCCACCAGACAGGTGTCTCACAGGAGAACTTTTCCTGCACCTGTTCCACGCTATCTCTCTCTCTCTCTCCCACCCACTGAAACTTTCTCAAACGTTGCACAGGTGTTGTGATCAACGGGTGGAGGTGTAGTGTAGGGTACACCCAGTCTACCAGACACCCACTGTGGTACACCCAGTCTACCAGACACCCACTGTGGTACACCCAGTCTACCAGACACCCACTGTGGTACACCCAGTCTACCTGACACCCACTGTGGTACACCCAGTCTACCTGACACCCACTGTGGTACACCCAGTCTACCAGACACCCACTGTGGTACACCAAGTCTACCAGACACCCACTGTGGTACACCCAGTCTACCAGACACCCACTGTGGTACACCCAGTCTACCAGACACCCACTGTGGTACACCCAGTCTACCTGACACCCACTGTGGTACACCCAGTCTACCAGACACCCACTGTGGTACACCCAGTCTACCAGACACCCACTGTGGTACACCCAGTCTACCAGCAATGGCCACCACCACCACCACCACTATGGCGGATGTTGTGTGGTATGGGAGAGCCGGGCCAACCACTGTGGTTACCAAAGAGATCAAGAGGCCAGCCTCAGGTCGCAGGGTCGGGCAAATTGAGTGAAAGTGAGAGTGTGAGTGAAAGGTAATGAATGAAATGTTAGCACAGACAGACAGACAGACAGACGGAGGGAGCTTGAGAGAGCTTAGGAGTGTGCGGCTGTAGGACACCGCCACGCACCTCAGGGGACAGTAAGACAGCGTCGACCCTTGGCTTTCACCTGTGAGGTGGTGAAGGCTTCCTCACATCACCAGACTCTACCTAAGCTTCATGTCCTAAACACAGAGAACACGATATGCTTAAGCTTGATGTAAACCTTGTAGAGATTACAAGATTTAGATCTTAGATTAGAGATTTACTGTGCCTAAATACAACACAGTTCTGCTTTTTCATGTCTTAAAGTTAGATTATATCAAAGTTGCTAAGCTTGAGTTGGGAATATTAATATAATTAGGAATTTCGCTTGTGGTATTTTAGTTTCTGGCTGCCATGATGCATAACTTGCAATTCTGATATTCTTTATCGACTGCTCATCGTGTAATCCTTCAAATTAAGGCTAATACCTATCGTGATCAACCAGTGAACCAGTGGATCAACCGGTGAACCAGTGAATCAACCGGTGAACCAGTGAATCAACCGGTGAACCAGTGGATCAACCGGTGAACCAGTGAATCAACCGGTGAACCAGTGAATCAACCGGTGAACCAGCGGCTCAACCGTTGAACCAGTGGATCAACCGGTGATCCACTGGTTCACTGGTTGATCACCTTGTGATAAACCAGATGATGAACGGGTCAGCTGGTCGTGGCACAGTTGATCACAACATTGTGATTGCCTTCTGTTGTGTTCTCTATATGTCCTACAAGTTCTTCTCCTCTGGGCTTCCAGTCACTGCCTGTTGAACTTCGGGCTGGTGCTCGTCTTCCTTCCCTTAACCCTTGTTAGTGGTGGTATAACTCTTGTTCAGCTTCTTTGTGTTCGTTACATAGTCCATCATGTCCTGAGTTGATTTTCTTCAAGAGTTCTCTTCCCCCGTTCTATGGGGAAGTGGCAGTGATGATAGTGACATTGATGATGGAGGTAGTGATGATGGTGGTAGTGATGATGGTGGTAGTGATGATGGAGGTAGTGATGATGGTGGTAGTGATGATGGTGGTAGTGATGATGGTGGTAGTGATGATGGTGGTAGTGATGATGCATTTCTCACGGCAAGAGATCCATTGCTCTTATTTTAACAACATAAAAACCCACCATGCCTCCGTGTCCCCACGCCATCACGCGCCAAAACTGCACGCAATTTACTCTTCCTTTGTTACTTTACAGCAAATTGGAGTCTGTTTTGTCCGCCGTGAGAACACGACACCATTGTTTAAGATGGAGAGTGTAGGGAAGGTGTGAGAGCTGCTTTCCTCCACCCAGCGAGGATTACAGAGGGTGTATAAAGGAGGGTGTATCTGCAAGGTGTTACCTTGCAGATACAGCACCGCTCCTGTGCCAGATAATTCTACTACGGGCTCACCATAGCCCGTGCTACTTGGAACTTGTTCCGA